CTGGCAAGATGCTTGCTGCGGTCGCTCCCGCTTCCCAGGGCCCCTCAGGCCGGACTCATCGCGCTGCAAGTTTACTGTCCTTAAGGACTGACTCCTGTCCAGTCATTAAAAGGAAAACCCGCAGCTTCCCCAGGCCCGGGACATATCAGCACAGTCACAGGCCCTGCAGGCGCTCGCATCCAGCTGGAGCACACAGTCGCGCAATGGACACCAAGGGAAGACACTGCAGGCCGTGCAGCGCACCATGACCGCCAAGGGGAGCCGCAAAGGGTGCAGTTAGAGCTGGGCGCGCAGGCCTCGCGCTGGGGAGCTGCGATGGCCGGAGCAGACTCCTGGTTACCTCCGGGGGCCTTGTGTGCGACTTGGGGTTGTGAAGACTCATGAGGTTGTGTGTGGGGTGCACGGGTCACCGTCAGAAACGAGCACTGGTACCATAAGCAAGGGAACGACGGGGAAGGATGTTGGGGTTCCCCAGGCTAGTGCGAGGGCCGACAACCAGGCTCGGAAAACAGGAAGGAGGGGTAGGAGCCTCAGGAAGCCACCTCATGAGGCCCCTTGGAAGGGAGTGGGACCTAAAAGTAAATGCTCCTAAAGAAACGATTGCGAATCCAAAACCCCGAACACCACGTGTTACACAACTGCAGCTCACTGCCCTCACAGCGATCACAGTGACAAAGGTGTCCTTACACATCAGAACTGAACATTAAATGAACACTGTACATGCTACTTAGCACTGTATCTGATTACAACCACGTTTTCCTACCCTGGAGTCACGTTCTGTTCAGAATCATTTGACAAAATTTCTGAAATTAAAAATAACAGTGACATTGTAGCCCTAGCTGGTTTAGTTCAGTGGATAGAGCGTCGGCCGGCGAACTGAAGGGTCCCAGGTTCGATTCCGGTCAGGTGCACATGCCAGGGTTGCCGGCTCAATCCCCAGTAGGGGGCGTGCAGGAGGCAACCGATCAATGATTCTCTCTCATCATTGATGTTTCTATCTCTCCCTCTCCCTTCTCTGAAATCAGTAGAAATATATTTTTTAAAAAATGACAGTGTAGTACTCGCTTTGGCAGCACATATACTAAAAATTGGAACCACAGAGAAGAGTAGCATGGCCCCTGCCCAAGGATGACATGCAAATTCGTGAAGCGTTCCATATTTTTTAAAAAAATGACAGAGCATCATGAAAGGTCTGTATGAACAGCTGTCACTGCTGCGCTCCCTCCTTCATCCAGGAGAATGTGTGAGGGAGCTGGCCGCGCCTTTGGGGGCCCAGGCGATGGGAGTGTTATTCCTGGCGGCTCCCCCAGATGACAGCTGATAACTTATGCTCACAAGGTGACTGGGAGGGGGGGGTCCTGGAACCAGATCTCAGGGGCAGCCTGGAGCGAGTCCACCCCGTGGGCAAAGCACCCGTCAGTGATGCCAAGCAGCGTGGGGGCTTTCCTGCTGGCAATGCTCCGTGCACCAGCACCGTGGCCGGGAGTGGGCAGCACCGTCGGACCGGGGCACCCAGACCTGGGGAGGACCGAGTCTGGCACCCCTGGACTCGCCGTGGCCAGGAGTGGGCAGCACCGTCTAGACGGGGGCGCGCAGACCTGGGGAGGACCGAGTCTGGTGCCCCTGGACTCACCGTGGCCGGGAGTGGGCAGCACCGTCGGACGGGGGCGTGCACACCTGGGGAGGACCGAGTCTGGCGCCCCTGGACTCGCGCGCTGTCTTCCTCTGGCTGCTTCTGGCTGCTGGCTTCTCTGATGAATGGACTGCGGGTGACAGAGCCTCCAGGGAGTTCTGGTTTTCTAATGAGTCATCTCACCCGCTGAAACTTGGAGGACTTGGGAGAGCCGGAGCTGCTGTCCCCGGGCACTGCCCGCCCAGCGGGGTCCAGCTCTCCTGTCGCTGTTTGCTTTCTGGAGGGGCATGCACCCTCCGGCCCTGAAGGAATGCGCGGTGAGAACAGACCGTTTCGATGGCCACTGCATCACCATCTGACTGAATGGCAGTCGCTTCGATAAGATTTAAACTCCCAGGTGTATCTGCAGGCCCTGCGCTTCCTGAACTGTGGCATACAGAACTTCTTTTTTTTCTAGGTGGACATTTCTTTTACTTAGTTTTTCAATACTTTCAACAAAAGAAATATTCCCATTACCCCCCCCCCCAAATTTAAATAAGTGCTTTTCATGAGCAGATACCAAAGAAAATTACACATTAAAAAAATACTGATATTCTTATTTTAGCAATGTTTTAAGATAAAGCATTTTGTACAAGGCTACTTCAGTGATAGCGGTGCAAAGAAAATCCTGTATGTTGCTTATCACTTGACCTCTATGCACTGAATTGATAGTCATGAAAGAAACAATTATATTCAAATTATGAAGAAGATCCGTACCAGTTACTGTAATTACCTAACCTTGAGGCTAGCAGAGAGATAATTAATTTAAAACAAAACACTTTACCAGGTAGGCTAGCATCACCATGGGAGGAGAAAAGTCCAGGCTCGGCTAAATGAGACCCAGTCTTTCAGGTTGAGCATGAGCTAGGCGAGGTCACCTGTGGTGCCGGGAACCAGAGAGCCGGGGAAGGTGTGGGGTTGCTGTGGGCATAGAAAGGGGACACTCATGGGCCATGTCTGACACAGGGCAGCGGGGCGCCAGGGAACGTAGGAAGACGTTTACATCGCTAATTATGAAAATAATCTACTTTCATAAACCTACTAAGTGGATAACCGGGTACCAAAAAAATGACAACGAAATTTGTCAATTTAAAAAAGCCATTTAACAAAAGACCATTTTATATATTTCTTTGAATTATGTCATAAAATCTAAACATACAAATTACATTCCCAAGCCCAAAAGAATTTTTCAAAACAAATACACATATATAGACAAATTCAGAACCCAAATTATTTAAAAATGTTGTTTAAATCACAGTAAATGATATCTCATAAGAAATAAAGCGAAAGCATGACCGTTCCATCCGACGGTCCACGTCAGAGGAGCTCAATGCCTGAGGACTGGGTGATTCTTTAAGTCAGTTCTGCCCCCCGTGTCGGTGCAGGGCACCCACCCTAACAGCTTGCAGTTCCGCCAGGCTGCCCACCAGTGTGTGTACAGTACTCCCACCCTAACAGCCTGCTGGGTGATGGGTTCATGAGCAAATGCTGAAACAGCCAGCACAGTGGATTACAGTTATTCTTACAACATCCTACTGTTGCCTACGTGTCCAAAGCTGTGAATTACAGTCATAGCCTCCAGGGAACAAAGTCAGGTGTTTTGGTAAAGCAAGGCACACAGGACCCGGTTTGGATGAAGGCGCTTTTTCTTTGGTCCTACGAGGACTTTAAATATGCTACATCTCCTACAGACTGTTCAAGTGACTTCCCACAGAGCGAGCTAACTTCTGTAACCTTCCCTGACATACAGCATGCGTCCACATGTGGTTACAGATGGTAATGATGGAAGTGTAAATAAAATGAGCAATGCGAGACCCTGTTTTTAAAAGAAACTCAGTTGAATGACTACAGGATGCATTTTAAAGTCTAATAATTTGGTAGCAGGAAAAGTGTGCCGCTTCTTAAGAATAGTCAGCATTAACCATGTCTACTGAGCACAAAGGTAGTTTCCTTTCCGTCTGTCTCCTTACAATCTAGTTTACATATCAAACTACCCCTCCTTCTATGAAACGTGACCTTCAATATAAACGGATGTAAACATGTAAATTCTGCATCTATACTACGTGTTCCTCCATCAAACAGCCTACAACACCGCCATGTCACTTCTCCCAGGACTGATCCCATCCGGGTGAGGAAACATCCTCATGTGGCAGCTCAGACTTTCATTCCCAAACACCATGTTCTTCATTTCTAATAGAATTATCAATTGGCACTTTTCTCCCATGAATTAGCATATTTTTTATAATGAACGAAGTAGTGGAGAGAGAAGTAGTGAAGTAAATAACATTTAGCAAAGTCCATTAGAGCGACTTTTTACAGGAAACTTTAAAAATATATTAAGTATGATGAAAAACATAAAGTAAAATAATTCTACTCCCTGGTAATCCAGGCATCAATAAATAAACCCACATTCCAACTTCTGAAGTATTTTGCCCACCAAGTCCTCTTCCCTCTTCTGCTAGCCTCTCCCTGAGCCCCTGTTAAATAACTCATCCAATTTGCCACTTCACCTGTGGTGCCAAGCAAACGGAAAAGAAACCTTGTCAGAGCATAGGGGAGCCAGCGCCTCCCGCCCCCACCTCCCGCCCGGGGGGGACTCAGAGCCCCTGGGCGGGGTGTGAGCGCCTGGGAAGCGCTGAGCGGCCTTGGGTGTCAGTCAGAGCGCCATTCATATGAGGTGATACCGTGGCAACCTGGAATGTCTCCAAGGAAAATCGTTTTGGTCTCAATTCCTTGATGTCAGTCCTACTTTGGTGGTTGTTTTTGTCAACAGTTGTAAAGTTTACAGGTCAATGAGTAAAATACTCATTAAAAACATTCTAATGTGTACAGCTCATGCTTTGATAGTTCAAAACTCTCCAAATGGAGATATTAGACAAGAATTATTTTATTGTAAGTTAATAAATGAGTTTTTAATCCCTTTAAATTACGTATTAAAACTTTAATGGAACACACAGGAATTAATTTAAAGCACCACTAAAGACGATGTGATTTACAGAAAAGAAGCAGGTAGGGGCAGGACAGCTCCGCTAGCGCCCAAGTGCCCAGTGCCACCCGCACGGAGCGGGGACGCTTAAGAGGCGCGGAGAGACCTGACGGGCAGATGGAGAAGTGTGTGTTTCTCTACGTGGAATGTGAACGTGGACTCTGCATTTCCTTCTCTGACAAGCCAGACCCAGAATGGTACTTCACCAGTTTTTATGTAGTTGAATAACATTTAGCGATCTTTTGTTTACCAATCTTTTGTATAAATATAGAAATCTCGGGTCCGTGAAAATGTTTCTCAGGCCATACTTCTGTTTCTGCACAGCTTTATAGGCAACAATCCTAACCGTCAAACTCTGACTATGCCATTGGCTTGCTGACCTGCACGGAGGGTAAGACAGACACCGCCGAGAAGGACGTAGCTCGTCCGCAGACATGACGGCTGACGCCTGCTGCCTGCGCTCTTGCAGCGCGTGCACAGGTCATCCCTGCGGCGGCCCAACCGGCCAGATCCCCCAAACGCACATCTCCAGTCCCTGCAGTGATTCTAATCCCGGCAGTACCTCAAGCTTGGATTTCTAGAGGCGACAGGCCTGCTGTCACATAGACAGAGACTTGAGCTGCACATTCATGTTTTCCAACCATCGGGGCAGTGTGAAGAGCGGCGACACCTCCCTGGGCTCTGAGCAGTCCTGCGGGTTCCCGCCGAGCCCTGCGAGCAGCGCCCCCTATGCTTTGGTGGGGTTGCCTGCAGGCTTGGGGTCGTAGCCGTATAGGAAAGTAGCTGCTATTACAAGGATGGCTCCCAGGAAGAAGACACTACATAGACGAAGAGAAAAGGAAAAAGTCAAAATCAGATTAAAAGCAAACACGTTCCTTCTCTTCTTTACTGTAACAAGTGGTGGGAAATGTTGCCGTAACAGGCGAATGGAGCCTGTGTTTACTGCATCCAGCTGCCCAGCTAGTGTCCACATGTCCTCTCAGTTCTCACAGCCACCGCGAGGACGTGGTGGCATCGTTCTCCTTTTTAATCCGAGAAGAAACCGAAGGCAGCGAGTTCAAGTAAGTGGCTCCCAGCCCACCGCTCCCTCCTCCTCCTCCTCCTCCTCCTCACTGTCCCCCAAAACAAAGATGTCTAACTGTATTTCATCTTAATGTGCCTTGTGCCTGCAATACATTGAATAAGACCTCAACTGTTTTAAGATGTGAAACTGTAAAGGGAAATCTACACTCTTCAAACCAAAGTAAATTTCAGTTTAAAACCCACGGCAGTCATCAGCAAACTCAGGACCAATTTTCCAGGGCGCTTTTTCAAAGAGAAAGACTAAATGCAGGGAGACTTGGTTTCTTTTTATTTTATCCATAAATATGAGCCCTTACTATGACCTGGAAATGACCTTAAACTGGACGTAAACTAGAATACCAACCCTAACTTTTGACATGTGTATTCTTCAAGAGAATGAAAGCTTCAAACCTTTTAAAATGTCATTTTCTGGCTTATTTTATGACTTTATAAGGCCAATGAACTTTTAAATATGACTTTTACATGGCTTCTTCTTTGGGAAAAAAAACCCACTCAGATCCACTGGGAAACTCCTGGCCAAATTTGTGTAAAAACTTTTCCAGTGGAAGATACTGTCGTGCACATAATTTAAAACCTTTTTAAAAAGGTAGCTAAAAGGAACCCTCATTACATTCCCATGATTCTTCAAAAGTTGTAATAGAACAGCATTTTTCAGACTAGATCTTAAGAGAAATCCTGACTTTCCTATACCCTTTTGGAGATTTAAAGAAAAGATGTTACCTGGTTGGCACAAAATCTTGTAGCCAAAAGTAGGATATCAGTGTCGATAATATTATGGATAAAGAGGTTGCAAATCCTTTTAAAATATTATCTGCATACTTTATAACAGCTGCTATGACAAGGCCGCCCAGTGCCTGCAGAAGTGTTAAAAGATTATTTTTAAAAACAAGCATATATAAAACTGCTTTTCAAAACAATGTCATTACTCAATGCAGCTTTAAGCCTTTGTCCTACAATTTATTCCCATTTAGTAAGTGATTTTCATTAAGCACCTCTTCTAACCAGTGGCCTCCACGGTTTTGTTCCGTAGCCTCTATTTCCAAAGCTGCCTGGTAAAGTGACCACCAGGGTAACCCGCAGTGTGACCCGCAGTGTGACCCCCCAGTGTGACCCGCAGGGTGACCTGCAGTGTGACCCGCAGGGTAACCCCCAGTGTAACCCGCAGTGTGACCCCCAGTGTGACCTGCAGTGTGACCCGCAGGGTGTTGTGGTGGGTTCGATCCGAGTACAAGTGAAATACCTCCCCTCACCCAAGTGAGTATGAGCATAGAGTTCAGACAGGTGTGAGGGCCGGTTTCCAGCTGGCGAGGTGTTCTTTTGAATAAGAATGCGGGTCACCTGAGCGTTAGCTTGGCCAGCCTTTCCTGGTTTCCTAACTTCA